GGGGGCTGCCATCTGGCCTGGGCTGTGTGAGATTGGAGCAGCCAGAGGAAAGCAGAAATCCAGACTTAACAGAGATGCTGACTTATTTCCTCCCCGCGAGTATTGACCTAGATTTGCAAAGGCAAGCGCCCTGACCTCTCAGTGTTCTGTTCCCCACCACCACCACCCCCGCCAGCGCTGGGTCACTGCTCCTTCCCCGCCTCCATCCCACTCCTTTTCTACCCGGCCTGTTAGGGGCCCCTGGTGTGAGCCACCATTGTGGGGCCTGCTGGGCCCAGAGACTGGGGTTTGTCAGCCATAGACCTCCCCGCGGGGATGCTTCAGTGAGCACAAAGCCACTGATTCTGCTCAGAAGGAAGGGAAGCTGGCCTCTTTTTCCCTGCCATTTGGAAAGTAGTCATTTTCATTTTCTTCTGCTAAAAGGAGTAGTAAAATTATATATATATATGATATATCTGTTGCCGAGGATTAGGTTTAGCTGCCTACACCAAATAGAGATGAGTAGCTTAAATAAGATAGAAGTTTCTCTGTCATATACGGAAATCTGGAAGTAGGCAGCCCAGAACCGGTCATCAGAGACCCTGGGTCCTGGTGGTCTGCTTCTTCACAATTCCTAGCGTGTGACTTCATGGGCCGAAATGGCTGCATGATCTCCAGCCATTACATTCACTCTCCAGACAGTAGGAAAGAGGAAGTGGGAAGAAGATCACTGACTATAAGGAGATGATGCCGAAGTCCCATATAACAATCCTGCTTAGCCACAACTTAGTCATGTGGTCACTCATAGTTGCAAAGGAGGCTGGGATGTGTAGCCTTCTAGGTGGGAAGTAATAAGTCCAATGAAAAAATTGGAATTATTGTATTAAGGAAGATGGAGAGAATGGATTTGGGAAAATGTATTAGTTGGGCAGAGGCTTAACTGCTGAAACAGAGTCCTCAATATACAGTAGCTTAAGTAAGATGGTTTGTCTTACATGAGTCAGGCCGGTCTGAGCTGGTGGGACAGCTCTGATCTACAAGGTCATTCATGGATTCAGGTTCCTTCCATCTGATTGCTCCATCATCTCCTAAGACTTTGTCCTCCTCTGTGTGGAAGTTGAGTTGCTTGCATGTCCTGTTCAAGCTTGAGGAAAGGAGAAGAAAGAAAGTTCGGGGCAAGCAGTTTCCTCTTAGGCTGGTTGTACAGATCACTACTGCTCACATTCCTTTGGTCAAGAACATAATTATATGACCTAGCTGCAAAGGAGGCTGGGAAGTGTAGTCTTCTAGCTGGGTAGCCATGTGGCTAGGGAGGAGAGACTAGGGGGAAGGGAGGCGGGGAAGCACAACAAATCTGTTACTCTGGAAAAGAATAAATATCACAAAGTCCATCTGCTTCTGAAAGCATCTAAAACATATTTATTCTGTTCCTAGTCAGCCTATCACACTGCCGGGTCACTCAGATGTGGCACATGAAAGCTTATATTCTCATGGGGCACATGGACCTAACAAATGAAGAACAAGGTCAGATGCTCTATGTCAGTTTGTATCTACAGAGAGAATAAGGTTAGTTGTGCAACCCAGACAGTTTTATGAACATCAGGTGGGCTGCAGCTTTATAGAGTGAGCTGGGAAGTATGAAAGGCTTTGGTGAGACAGAAGAGGGAGGACATTTAGGTGAGGTGACTGCACAGGGGCAGCAGGGCATGCAATGTGTATACAGATCCCCAGTTTGCTTGCCCCTCTCACCCATTCTGCATGTGCAGCCAGAAGTTTGAATAGGGTCTTAGGACTTGAATCTTACCAAGCATCCCTCTTTATCTTGAGGTTCTTAGCCAGAATCTATATAGTATTAGAACAACAGTAGAATGTAAAACAGATTACCACGATTATGGTTAAATGGCCCATTCTGGTTGTTCTCTCAAAAAAAACAACACACACACACAAAAAACTGACCTGGGTGTTTTGGCTTACGGTTAAGTCCCAAGTAAAGCAAGCCTCCTGCTCTCTTCTCCCAGCTGCTGAGATCCACAGGCCAGGCCTGAGGAACAGACCCTGAGTCTTTCCGCAGCCACACGGGTGATGGTAGCTGGCCTGCCCTTGGGGCCATGGCCTGTATAGGAAGGAAAAGGGGACAACACCATACTTGGTTGCTATCTTTCAGGCACAGTGACTTGTAAGACATGGTCCAGTGAATGACCTCCTAACCACGAAGTTCAGACCACAATTTTTCCTATCTTGGGAAAGAGCTGGTGAGGCAGTAGAGAGAAGAGCAGGGCCTGGAAGGGCAGAGTTCCCTTCATCTGCTTATATTCTTCCTACATCGACTGCATATTGTATGCAGCTACATAATCCATCACCCTACACATAAACATTTGGGATGCAAATGTTACCTCCATGCTTTTCCCCTTTGAGATGCATAGACAGTTACTATCTGAGAAAAAAAAGACCCCCCCCCCCCACACACACACTTTTTCATTTATAGTATCTCTTCATTTGTTCTTTGGTTTGAACAAATATAGTATCACCTTGCTTGGTGAAAAATAAAAAGTAGTAACACTGTATGTGTACTTTTTATGGGCAGGAGATAGCTTTTGATCCCTGAATCTTTTACTGATAGGAAAATAAAAGAAAGCACAAAAAAAGATAAGTAATTTATAAAAATAATCTATATCTTTAAAGATAATCTATATCTAATCTATCTTTGTATCCACCATGAATCTGCTAGCCCAATAATAACACTAATTGGAGCTAATTGTTAATAAGTGCTTCCTACTGTGCCAGGCACTGTTTTAAGTACATTTTACATATTAACTTTAATCTTTACAGCAATACTCTGGCTTAGATACTACAAGTTTCTCCACTTTCAAGTGAAGAAAACTGACCCACAGAAAATTTAGATATCTTAGCTAAAGTCACACAGCCAGGAAGCCGCAGAGAGCTGTATGGGATTGTTGACTGACTTTTTGGAAAAGGTGTGCAAGCTGTCTGTCTGGCCTGCCTGGAACGGAGGGTCCCTGTTGACGTGCTAGGAAGTGCAGGCGGGATGGGGTACTTTTATGAGTGGACTGGAGAAGAGGGGTTTGGCATTGGTAGGGAGGCCGTGGAGAACCGCAGGTTGCTGAGTGGAGGAGTGCCTTGGCGAATGCTTTGCTAAACAGACTCCACGTGTGTCTGTGTGTGTGTGTGTGTGTGTGTGTGTGTGTGTGTGTGTGTGGAGCTTTCCATTTTCCAAAGTCCCAGGACAGCTTTCCTTCATGATGTGACTCTGCTGAGCGGAAACGATGACTCACACAGTCCAGAAAGAGACAGGTGCTGATGCAGTGGCTCTCAGAGATTTGAACAGATAATTTCTGGTTAAAATATCAAGGACTCAGGGACTAAATTTATACCTGAGAGCTGTGATCCAAGCGGTTCATTAGAAGCGATAAAGAGCAAACCAGAAGCCATTAACCACTCAGTGGAGGATGGCAAAACAGGCTCAAGGGATTACAGGGAAGGGATAGATAGTATCTGTGAATAAGACAGGGCTGGAAACCACAGAACCATATTGAGAACCTGAAAAAAATCAACCACGAAAATAAGTACCTCTTGTATTACAGGAATATCCGAAGGGAGAAAAAGTGGCTTAATTGTTTTCCAGAACAGAGCAGTTATTGGAAGGTTTTACAGGGCACATGTGAGAAGGAAAGGGGGGAGGTGCCCTATACCAATATTATTTGGTCTCAATCCAAGTTTTTAGTGAAAAAGAAAACAAATAGCACCAAGCCCAGCCGGTGTGGCTAAGTGGTTGAGCATTGACCCATGAACCAAGAGGGGGTTTGATTCCCAGTCAGGGCACATGCTTGGGTTTCGGATTTGATCCCCAGTCGGAGGAGGAGGGGCATGCAGGAGGCAGCCAACTGATGTTTCTCATCTATGTTTCTATGTCTCTATCCTTCTCCCTTCCTCTCTCTCCAAAACTCAGTAAAAACATTTTTAAAAAAGCTACCAAAATGGAGGGAAAGGAACAAGCAAAAACAAACAAAACCCCAACACCAGTAGTGAAAACTGGGGGGTGGACAATGTAATGGGAGAAGGAAGAACTGGCCGTGTCTGGGGTTTCTAACCCATGTATCTCAAGACCAAGGCAGACAAGTAAGTTCAAGAAAGGTCTTTAAACAGTATTGTGACAAGATCAGTTTCCCATTTTAGAAAGATGGCAGGTGGGGGGAGAAGTGGGAGGGAGGTGGGGGGATCGGATAGGCGATGGTACAGTGTGAAAGGGCAGGCTCGGGTTTCTCGGGTGGGAATAGAAGAATGGTGGGTGAGTATATATAGCAGGTGGAGAAACCCAGGGCTACGGTTTCAGGGTTAGAAGACTGTGGTGGGTGGTGGCATTCTTCACGGGGACAGGAAACGTAGGAGGAAGAGCATTTGGGAGGTGGGGGAGCTCAGTTTTGGGCTATGGAATCGATGTGCTTATGGAATATCCAGGTAGAAACCCCGTGTCTGACGGTGGGACAAAGGTGTAACAGCCACCCAAATGAGAAGGATTCTTTAGACTGGCAGGCAACTTCATAGACTGTAACAGAATTTATTATAGGGCAGTTTCCTTCCGGGAAGACTGAGCCACAGGAGACAGACGGCCTAGAACGTAGCACAAATTATTCTCTGCTACCGGACACCTGTTGCAGTACTTTTTGCAATAGTATAACTCAGGGACTAATGATTGACGAGACAAAGGGATGAAGAATGCAATAGCTCTCAGGGTCGTACCTCCTGGTGGTCCTGTGGTAGATGATTGCTTATAATCAATACTATTTCCAGTTGGCTATTTATCTCTGTTGTCATGCCATTCCAATTGTTACTAATAAAAATATTTATGGCTGCATTTTATGAAACACAGATAATCATCAACTAGAAGGCTTCGATATGCTTGCTAAGGACAGGGAGGTTGGTCAAAGGTCACAGCATGCAACTTAAAATGAAATGAAATCCAGAACACACAAGGTACATACCCTTGACCAGAATCGAACCCAGGACCCTTCAGTCTGCAGGCCAATGCTCAACCACTGAGCCAAACCGGCTAGGGCTGGAACCTGAACTTTAGATCCAGGTTCTTCTGTAGGCACTTTTGGTAATGATCTTACTGGTTAGTCATGCTAGAGTTTTAGGATAATGGTCTTGGGAACATAAAAGACTTTTTGCAACCTAGCAGGATCTTAGATACTGGCACATAGTCCCAACTTATTTTATGCCAAATAGATCATTTAATTCCAGCAAAATTTGTAATATTGTAAAATGTGCTTATATTCTGATGCCAACCCCAACGAGTATACTGAAGTTTATTTCTGGTATTAATGACCCAGAGTTATCACAGGTTAAAGGGGTGGCCCACAAAAAGACTGTCCTCAATTCATACCAACTGGCTACCAATTCAGGGGCACCCACTAGAATGTCTCATAGAACTCAGGAAAGCACTGTACCTACAAATAGTATTGTTTTGTTATAAAGGAAACACCTCAGGAACAGCCTGTGTAGGCACATGTAGGGCGAGTCCAGGGGACTCCCGAATGCAGTTTCCGAGCCTTCCTCCTGGAATCAGGGCCTGTCACCCTCCTGGGACAGCACCGTGGTGAGAAATAGGAGGAAGAACATTCTCTGAAGAGCTCAGCATAGTTTGTAGCATTCAGCAGTTCAATATAAAGAGAAAAACAAAAATCTCATCTCAGGCAGGCCTTGCCAAGGTGTTAGGGGTGAGTTAATTAAATGTTTGACCAAATAGAGCGGGCTAATCTTTTAAGTTTTGTATGGCCCGCAAATGATGTTGTAAATATCCAAACGGCCCTTGGCAGAAAAAAGGTTCCCCACCCCTGTCCAAAATGCACAGCTGTGTGCCAGGAAAATGCAGTCCAGTGGCTTTTTTTTTCTTCTTAAAGGATAATTAATAGAACCAAATAAACAGAATCTCACTTAAAAAAATTACAAATAAAAAAGAAATGACATCAAAATAATGAGAAAAGAAAAACTAATGAACACTAATTTTTTAAAATGTGTATTTACTTTCCTAATGTTATAGGGTGATTTTATTTATTCATTTGTCAATCATTTATTCAGTGGCCAGTGCTAGGCATGATGCTGGGCGGAGAATACAAGATGAATCACACTTGGTTCCTTCGTACCAAGGCTTAGGAAGAGACACACTCAAGGGGCCAAAGAACCGCATGTGGCTTGCGAGCTGCAGTTTGCTGACCACGGGTCTAGGAGAAAATTATTTTTGTTACAAACTGGAAGCATAATGCAGGCTTGCCCTTCAATGTATGGTTTAATGCATTATAATGCCAAGTAATGTTACGAGAAAAATGCACAGCTGTTAGAAATGATGTGTGTAAAGAATTTAGTGAAATATGAAAATGTTATATGCAGCTTAATGAAAAATGGAAATTCACAGTGATGGAAAAATTCTATTGTCACATATATAAATGGAAAACCTCTAGTACTGAATATACAAGTGGGTCATTGTTAATTTTTTAAGTATGTTTTCATTGATTTTTAGAGATAGAGAAAGGGAGAGGGAGAGACAGAGAGAATCATCGATGTGAGAGAGAAACATCACTGGGCTGCCACACCCTGACTAGAGATCAAACCTGCAACCTGGGCATGTTCCCTGACCAGAAATCAAACCGGTGACCTTTAGGCGCACAGGATAATGCCCAACCAACTGAGCCACACCAGCCAGGGCTATTTTTTTTTCCTCTTAGAGCATGTCTATTGAATTAAAACTGGTTTTAAAGCTCCCAGGTCACAGTGGTGAGCCTGTGTTCATATGAAATTATGCCCCCTCTCCGGGCCTCAGTGTCCTTGCCTGTAAAATGAGGGAAAAGTCACTTATTATCAGCTAACATGTAAGGCTCAGTTCAAAGATGTGTACCCTGTATTCTCCCCTCATGAAGAGGGTGAATACGCTTACCCAGGGCCCTTTTCTGAGGCCTTTTATCTATAGCTAGATGGGTGTGATAGAAAATAGTAAATGTACTTTTTTTAATTCTCATTGAAAAAGTTGTTACTGGACTTTCTAACCATTATTTATTCTCACTGTCCAGGTTACCCTTTCACTACTGCTCCTCCTGTGGATCCATTTGCCAAAATCAAAGTGGATGACTGTGGTAAAACTAAGGGATGCTTTAGGTTGGTAGACCTGTGCATTGGATAACTCTAAGACTGAGACGTCGCTTAACTTCTCAGGATAGAATTGAAATTGCATGCAGTCCATTCTAACCAGGGGCCTGTACCCCTTCAGACCTTCGGCAGGGATATGGCCGCTCTGATGGCCAACTCAGTTTTCAGTCTTCAAGGCCTGGGACACTGGAACATTCTTCATTTTGACTGTGCTGCCATTGGCACCAGTGTCTGTTCCTAACCAATTGGCTGTCTGAAGAAGAAGCACATGACACAGAACCTGTCCACATTTACTGGGGGAGGTGGGGGGCGGGGGTGGAGAGGGAATGGCCAGGACAGACGATGATAAACATGTCTGATACCCAATTCCTTTTCAAATAAATAGTCATGGTGTATTGATATCTGTATGATACCAAGTAGTCATTAAGCACTTGTTGTCTCGTGTGTTGAGGCCTCCCATGGTTATTAACAGTGTCCTATCATGACATGATGGGCTAGAGCTAGAAAACAGTAGTAGAGAGTGGGCCTCCCGCAAAGATAGCTCTGTTTTGTTGGGAAACTTCCTTTGAATGTTTTATTTTCTGAAACAAATTGTCCTTAAGTAAAGATTTGTTTGATCACTGTTCTAAAGTTCTGATTTATATTTTTTTGGTCCATTGCTCAAGATCTATGGGTGGTGCGGGGGCGGGGGGAGGATGGGACTGAATTATAGGGGTTTTGAGCTTTCTTTGGATTACCAGAACATTCTAAGGAATAAAAATAATCCAATAATACTAATATTAAGGAAATGGCCTTTAATGTATAATTCTGGTGACTAAGGGATATGTTTGAGAAGTGAAGGAAGTTTAGTACCCTGCTGGCTTCAGGGTGACCTCCTCTCGGGCCCATTCACTCCTCCTTTAGCTGTTCTTAACCTTTCCCACCCACGTTCCTTGCTGTCTGGAGCTTATATCTCACCCTGGCTGCTCAGAGTCCCTGCTGAGTCCTTGCCTCCCTCCTCCATCAGCACTTCGTAGGTTTGTGTCTTGTTCCTCCAGATCCCTTCCATCTGAATTTAGATGGTCACACCCATTGCTACTACGCTCTGTCATCCTAAAAAGAATGTTCCTCAAACTAGGGCTTGTCAGTTCTGAAAGGACCCACAAGTCCTCTCTAAGAAAATTTAAGTTTCTGTTGTCAAAAAAGAAACAGATCATAGATACAAAGAACAGACGTGTGGCTGCCAGATGGGAAGGGAGTGGATGTAAAGCGCAGCATAGGAAGCACAGTCAGTAATATTGTAATGACTGTAAGGCGCAGGTGGGTACTGGATTTGTCAGGGGCATCACTTTGGAAGTTACGTAACTGTCTAACCCTATGCTGGACACGGAAAACTAACATAATATCGAGTATCAATTGTAATTGAAAACTATTAATTTTTAAAAACAGTGCTCAGGCAAATTAAAAATAAATAAGTAAAATAAATAAGTTTTTATGTCAATGGTGCTTCTTTAAAAGATCAATGTATGCATAATCTGATTTTGTGGAGAAACACCTTATTCTGCTGTATGCTTTCATGTCTGAATTTGTGATTGTATGAGAACCTATACAGCAAAGGCAAACTTTATAAATAGACGATGCATCCAGGCTCAGTGAGTACCAGTTGAGGTGTTCAGTGGATGCATTGTACATGCCAGGGTTTTGCAGCAATTCAGATAAAAGTGGAAGAGAGTGAGTCCTGATTAATAGAACATGCTCAGCTAAAAGACGCTGCACAGTCCAGTCAGACATACCATATGATGTGAGCAGAATTTCACTTTAAGAGAAACCGCATCATCCATCACATGAACGCTGTCAGTTTAAATGTTCCTGGTTTTGTAGTTTATATATTTATATTTCATTTGCGACTTGGTGTTCATTTAATTGCAAAATTAAAGTAGGAAGAATTGGTATACATTTAATTAACAAAAATAATTTAAATTATTAACTCGGAGAATTTTCTCATTTAAAAGGGATTCAGAAATAATTCAGTAATAACTAATATTTGAGAGATACTACTATAGTGTAGAGAACACTGGCTGGGAGTTTGGAGGTGCAGGGTCAAGTCCCGTTGCAGCTACTGACTCACTATGCAACCTTCCCATCTCTGGGCCCCTTTAATATGCAGATAAAGTGAAGCAGGTCATCTATGAGGTACCTCCCAACTGAGTGGAACTGTTTTTTGAAGCAAAGATCTAATTTATTCAGTAATGTTGCTTATCGTCCTGCCTGATCCATCAATGTCCTCTCAATGTATTTTAAATAAGAATATGAAGGAGTCATGTCTTTTTTATTAAATTTATTGGGGGTAACACTAATTAATAGCATTACATAAGTTTCAAGTCTGCATTCTATAATTACCATCATATTCCATTGTGTGCTCACCACTCAGAGTCTAACCTCTTTCCATCACCGTATATTTGACCCCCTTTATCCTCTTGAGTAATGTCTGTTTTGATGTCTCTTATAGATATGGGAAACCAGGCTGCAATGCAGAGACCTGTGACTACTTCCTTAGCTACCGGATAATAGGGGCCGATGTGGAATTTGAGCTGAGTGCGGACACAGATGGCTGGGTAGCAGTTGGATTCTCTTCAGACAGGAAAATGGTGAGACACATCATGATAGAAGCTTATTTTTCTCTTTAGTTTGCTGTGTGACTTTAGAGTTTAGAGAATGGGCATGGTTAAGCTACCATTGCCACTTTTAAATGCAAGAAGCTAATTTCTGGCATTTGGTTGTCTTTTGCAAAGCATCACGAAGCAAAGAAACTCATCAAAGCAGTATAATGAGTATATTAGTGTGGCTCTCTGGTTACAAGTTAAAATAAATTCAAGTTAGCTTAAACAACGAAGGGAGGGTTGGTTTTGAGAACACAAGATGTTTCATATCTATTGATCAGCTATTTCCACAGACATCCTGCAGGGGAAACCTCCAAAGTTACATGGTTTTTAATAGTAAGCATTTATTTGTTGCTCATGTGTGTACATTGGCTGGGGCTCAGCTGGGCTTCGCTCCTGTCCATGTGTTGGATTTAGTTTTTTTTTCCCCCTAATCATTCTGCAACCAGCAACTACCAAGGCATGTTATTTTCATGGCAGAGACAAGAGTGCAAGGGCAATCCAAACTTATTTCAATCTCTGCTCGTGTTACAGCTGCTAACACTCCATTGCCCAAAGCAAGTCACACAGCCAAGCCCAGAAAGAAGAGGCCGGGATATACACTCCCTCTACCAAGAGGCCCTGCAAAGGTCTGGGCGTATAATATAACAACAGGGGGCTCAAGAATTGGGTCTGACAATTCAGTCTTCCACAGTTCTCCTGGGCGAGAACACATCTGGACCTTAGGAAGGACTGTGACCAGGCACAGGCAGGGTACCAGGAGCCCAGGCAGCTGCCCATCTCCTGCCTTTGCTCCTCTCTACACCTCTGCTGCCGTCTTCCCTCCTTTCTCTGTAGCCCCGTCTTTTGCCACTTCACTGTGCCAGGACTTTCTTAGGCCTCTGTACCCT